TCGGAGATATTAAGTCACGCTTCATGTCCCTTCGCAGCCCTTTCAGCAACTTCCAGCTCTCAGTGCTTTTCCTTCCTCCTATGTACGTGTCTATTTTGTTACAGCTCCTCTCCCAAGATTCGTTCTTTTTCTTGGTTATGAGCCTTCGTACCTGCGTCTGAGCTTTTTTATACGCCTCTTTGTCTTCTGTTTTTTTAGAGGAAAGGAACTGATGATATTTTTTCCGTTTCTCCTGAATCTCCTTCTCAATTTCTTCGTCCCACCAGTAAGGTTTTTCGCTAACTTTCCTATCATCAGCGACACCAAGAGCTTCCATTGCTGCCGAGTGAATGCAATCCTTCAGGAACTGATACTGCTGTTCGGTATCACCGTCCCTTGATTCGCCCAACTTCTCATCCAAGCGCTTTCCATATAAAGCCCTTACACTTGGATGCTGCAAGCTGTCAATGTTATAGTTTACAAGCTTGACACGATCTTTTTGTTGGTGAACTTCTTCCTGTGCTTGCCTGGTCTCCTGGCTCCCTTTCACTGGGAAAGCTATTTTTGCCCCGAGGAAATAATGATCACTGCCGCAGGAAAGACCTCTCCACACTCTAACTTGCTGAATCTTCATTCCCGTGTCTTGTCTGACAACCACATAATCAATGATTGATTTCAATCCGCGAGTAGACTGAACCCAAGTAAATTTATGGATATCCTTGTGTTGGTAGAACCCATTGAGCACCTTCATGTCCCTTTGCTCACATACGTCAATGATACGGGCTCCGTTATCATTTAGTGCCGCCTCTCCGAAAGGGCCGACGATCTTACTTTTAATTTGACGTCCTATTCTACCATTGAGATCTCCCAACACAATGATTTCCCTCCTGGATCCAATCTTACCAATTTCCTCGTTCAATTCTTCGAAAAATTGGTCCTTCACTGCGACAGTGGAATCATCGTTGACTCCATACACTCCCAAAATGGTGATTTTATGGCCAAACACTGTCATATTCATCTTTATCATTCGGGGGTTAACAGCTTCCCATGTAGTGATGCACTTCCGTAGGCTCTTGCGAATAAGAATTGCAACACCCTGTTGAGCTCGCTGATCTTTTTCCACGCCACTATAAAACAAATCGTATTCCTTTACACTTACAGAGCCTTGTCCTTTCTTCTTCGTTTCTGTTAATACCGTGACATCAAATCCGTGACTCCCTATCTCCGATACCACTTCCGTCATTTTCGTAGAAATTCCTTGTACGTTCCATGTTCCAAAAACCATCATCCGTTTACGTAATTTTTTCCGATAAATCCGTTTATTTCCATTTGTACCGAGGCAATTGTTATTGGGTCTTTTAACAGTATTCCTTTTTCCGAGTATCGGGGAGTTAGCCCGATGACTCAACCCCCAACCTGGAGGACCGGGGTTTGATTTCGGAGTTTCCTCTCCTAGACAGGTTGCTTCCACTACAGCTGAGAGCCCTGTCTGCCCTTCCAATGGGTGGTTCATACGCCTTGAAGCCGGTGACCATCTCCACTACCCCATGAGGCAGGGGTTACCAGCTGGGGTCCGCAGGATTGCTAAACCTGTGACATCAGTCCCCCATACGGGCTAACACAGTTTGCACTCGTTTGCTTACACAGTTAAATATCGACGGTGAAACTACCAAACCACGTATCTCATTTGCGGTGTTTAAAAATCTACGCTCACATTTTATTTTTTTAAAGTAGACCAAATCAATATCATTCCTTGAAATTTTCACGGAATTTTCTCCGCACAAAGAGGAAAAATCACAGAAATTTTCAAGACTGGATGTTAAGTAGTTTTTCATTTAAAAAATAAAGTATGACAGGAAGTCTGCGACGTCTCAAACCGAGATACGTGGTTTGGTAGTTTCACCGTCGATATGTATGTGTCTGGTTACTTTCGGTTGATTTTTATTCAGTCGGGTCCGTTTGAACGATTTGAGTCGAACGAATTTTTAGTTAAAACAACCGAAACGTTTCGTTAAATCAATCAAAACCTTGGGCTTCTTCGAAACATTCCAAGATTAAGAGAATTTATGAGCCTATTGCAGACTTTCGCTGGAGCAAAAATAAGAGTTGTTTCTACCAGCGAGTGTCTCAAAAATAAGGATGAGCGCATAGGGAAAGTTGAAATGCACTCCTAACTTCATAATCTGCATCAGAAATTTGCATTTTTTTGAGCTTTCCGCCTCAAAAACAACGCTACCGCACATGTGAACATTTCGTTGGAAGTTTCGTTCTATCCAACCCCTGTCCATTAGAATACCACGTTCTCCACGTATTCAACGCGGCCGACGCCAATCCGCCAAAACACATGTGCTTGAACAAGATTCTAACCATTTGTTAACAACCTAGCGTGTTTAAATTGGACGTATTTCTACCAAACAGACCTATGTGCAGGTGAGAAATATGGGGTATGCTCGTCGAAGCTGGATAAGAAGCAATATAAAAGTGGGCGTGATTCCTTTTGAAGAATTGGAAAAGCTTGATATTACATTCTATCAAACAGACCTATGTGCCAACTGAATGCGAAATTCATGAGCCGCGGGCACGGCAAGAGAGTGTTGTGGACAGGGCTCATGAGTTAATGACCACGACCACCGCAACCGCGTGGACCGTGACGACGGCGCCCTCCTCCGTTGACGTCACTGGCGCTTTATTATTCTTATTCACTCTTACGGATAGAGAACTAACGAGCACACCCCATATTTCTCACTTGCACATAGGTCTGTTTGATAGAAATACGTCCAATTCACGATTTTCTTGCGTTGATTGAGCTTATGCTCCCGATTGCGATTTCAACGCGGATTCGTCTATGTTGGGTATTGCTCGTGCGAAAGGGTTCCGTAGAACGATGGGATGTTCACCTGTGTCGTAGTATCGTTTTTCAAGTCGAAAGCTCAAAAAAATGCAAATTTCTTACGCAGATTGTGAAGTTAGGAGCAGGGGCGGATTAAGGGGGTGGCCACATGGGCCTAGAGTACCTATATTGAGAGAGTATGGCCACTGGGGTTACCACCTCTGATTGGCTCAGCCATCTTAGGCTGAATGGAGCCCTTAGGACCCAAAAATGGCGGACGCCATGAATTAATGTATTGCAAAATGACTCAAAATGTAGTTTTCTTTGCTTATCGTAACGAGAAATTTACTCAAATGCACTCTTGCGACTTCTTTACATATTTATAAGACTAATCGTGTGCAATTTTTGAGAAAAATTATCTTGAATGTAGTAAGGTTGGCAGCAAGTATGGTTGGTGGTAACCGTCAAAAGTTGGCAATGACCCCCCTCCCATCACCAAAAACCAAAACAAAGCACCGCCATTTTTGGGCCCTAAGCCTCTCCATGGGGCCCAGTGGCCATACTATCTTAATATAGGTACTCTACATGGGCCGCGGCCCATGGCGGCAAATCTAAGGGGCGACAAAAATTTGCAATTTTTTAAAGTGTAGGTATAAAAAAAATCGGATTTGTGAAAACAAAATTACAAACGAGAAAAGGTGACAAAATCTCTCATTTCCTGAGAGTATTCTAATTTCTAATTTTGTCGTCTCTTAGTGATACAAGAGACAGCACCTTCAATAAGTCGAATTAAGAGAGAGACCACACACGCAATTTGGCCTGAAACGGCGCCACTTAGAGAGAAATGATAACGAGGACTTGAGATGGAAATAAGACGCCCTCGGCACGGCGACCGGCATGTAAAACATATTAGCGCCTACAAGAATGCATGAATACTTCAGGCATTCAGCCAAACACAGTGCTGTCAGCGTGAAACGCATAGCGCCTACAAGACTGCGTGAATACTTCACGCACTGCGTCCAACACGGTGCGGTCTGCGCGGCGCGACAGCGGAAGTTAAAATCATTGAACCACATTTATGTCTGTTCTTTCATAATTTTCTCGTTCATTTCTTATGAATGGAAGGCCTTGTCCACACAGAGATAGGTTTACGGAACTTAACTTCCGCGCAAAGTTTCGTGAACTTTCGCTAGTAGTGTTGACAGGGTTTTCCCAAAAAAATGTATTCAACACGAGTAAATGCGTCTTATGCACCCCTCCCCCGCTGGCATGTTCATTTGATGGTTTTTATCGAGTTTCAAAACGAACGAGAAGGGGGCGGCAAAATATAGGCGGCCCATGGGCGGAAAGTAAGTGAATCCGGCCCTGGTTAGGAGTATTATAGGAGTATATTAGGAGTATAGACCCTTGTATAGCCTCCTCCCCTCGAAATAACATGCGGAATTTCACGAATTTCTGTGGTTTCAGTGTATTGATACGTGGTGGGAAGTTCGCAACGTTGCGAGGTACATATTTCTCTAATCTCACCATCGATTTGACGAACGCTTTTCATGCTTTTAGGTGGCCGGGCATGTTTGCTGGGCTTAGAGGTAAACCAAATGACCTACGTCGGCTTAGATATTGCGTCGGAGTAATAAATCGAGCCTATGTGAGGGCAAAAAGTCTTCCCGCACCTGGCAAAAGAGAAAGTTTCAATTCGTGATTTTTAATGGTACATTTGATGCCATGAAATATCCTCTCTGAATCATCGCTGTAGGAGGAAAATGGGAAGATAAAGGGCTTTAAAGGATGACGTCAACATCCAACTGGTGTTTGAAATACTGCGAACAGATATGTTTATGAAATATCGCAATGCCGATAAAACCCGTTAAAATTGTCAAATCGTCACCTTTCGGCCAAAGTATCACAAGTGCCATGCGACGTTTCAAAATATCGAACGAAGTTGTCCGAAAATTTCACTGAATTTTCTTTGGGCTGCCGATACATAAAATTCAGTAAAATGTTCAGATTCAACCAACAATTTCCGTGTAAAAAAATAAAGTGGCGACGGAAATTGTTGAATGTCCCATGGCACTTGTAAAACTTTGGCCGAAAGGTGATGACATTTTTTTTTTCATGTATTTTTAATTAAGTATAGGGACTCTTATAAAGCGTGAGCTTGAAATGTATAAGAGCGAGAAATAGATTAAAGTACTATCTTGGTAAGGAAATTTATTTCTGTTTTAGTTTTGTCCTTCCATCCTTTGATTTACTACTCCTACAAACGCAATTTAATAAACAACTAATTAAATATAAGCTAAATATCACAGAAACAGTATAAAATAAGATTACATCTAATAGTAGGTACTGGTAAAATGGCATGTCCACAGCCGCGGAGCGTAGATTTCTAGCTCCTTTATTTCGGATGACATATTCCACCCAGTAAGCAGCAGTGTCCATTGGCGACATTGGGCGGTCGTGGAACAATTTCGAAAGCTCTCTTGCGTTTTCCAGATATCTGAGACAATAAAGACGACGACGATGAGTTGTAGATCAAATTTTCTTGCTGTTCCTTACTAAACTATACTGATGCTAAGGTACACTTTTCTCAGACTTTTTGACTTTTGGACTCTGATTTTCAAAAAAAAGATAAAAATTGTTCGATTCCTCAGACTTCACTCTAGATTTAGACAAAGCAATTTTGAAAAATTATGAAAATTGAAATTTCCATGAATTTTTTGAAACGATAAAACAATTTAAGCAAATCAGGCCTTCAAACTCATTTGTTTTTCTCCAACAGAATAATAAGAACAAACTCTCTCGTCCGTGGTTAGATAAAAGGTAAGGAAAAGAACCGAAGTTTTTAAAAATCCATCTATTGTGAGAAAGACGTACCTGTCAAAAAACATTGTTTTGAGAAAAACCTGTGTCTAAAGTTTTGAACGCACATAAGGTTGCATTACTCCGTCTATCACAAAACCTTGCATATAACTTATTCGATATTGATCAGATTTTAAAAAATTATGTTTTGAAATACAGCTGAATTCATGCAGAAATTCATTAGGAAAAAACCGCAAGTAAAAACGTTACCGTAGCAGTCTCTGTTATACGAAAATATGGCAACCTTAACCTTAACGCCTTGGCTCAACTATAGCAAGTAGTTTATAGTTTGAACAACATAGGATAGGAAATCAACAGTACTCGATTGATGAGTCTACCGAAACCGTTGTAGTACGCGATTAGACCCACGTAGAGAATTCCGTTTCTTGTGACCGGGAAATTCAAATTTCCCGTGACCAGTGTAAAATCAAATCGTTAATATCTTAGTGCGGAGTTCATTTCAGTAATTTTCGATGCGAGAATCGTGTTCTACGTGAAATTCTGGTTGAGCAATATGTATTAAAATGCTGAAATTTGTACCTTGTCTAGTGGTCTATTCTGAAAATTAAATCGTGCGATCAGCAGTTAAAATTAACCGAGCCTGAAACCAGCAATAACCAGTTCTGTCTTAGTTAACTTGGGTCTCATTAAGTCTTTCACTCTTCTTAAGTCGACAACTAAGCACATTTTGCTGGATCTCATAATTGAACGAAGCTGGACTCTAAATGGAGAAGTTTTTTGTTTTCCAAATGACTTGAGGATGATTAGCCTAGATGTGTTAAAAATATTCTTATTACGTAATGTTAATTAGTTTATGTTAATCCGATGCAATTTGGCTAAGAGCCGTCTTGAGATACTCTAAAAAAAAATCTCAGTCGAAATACATCAGTATGTTCCCATAAATTGATTAACTTTATTTAGTGCCTATAAGTATTCTAAAGCATCTAAGCTAATCATTCTCTAGTCAATATAAAATAGATGCAAAATTGAATAATACAAAAGATTTTTGATGTTTCCCCTGATACAAGTTTTGCAAACTTTTTCCCTTCCATTGATAAAAAACTCAATTCTAAAAAGTGTTTAGAGCACTAGGCTGTGACGGCCTACCTCTACCCAGGGTGGCAAAATTTCATGAAATATAAAATCTTGAAATTTCACGGAAAATAAAATCTTGAAATTTAAAATTTCACGAGAAATATTTCGTAAAATTTCAGAAATTTATGAAAGATATTGAAAAATACCAGAATCTTTTCCTGTTCCACAAAATGTAAAAATTGTGACTTTCTTCTATTTTTGTGTGGTTGAGTGCGGCTTGCATATACTCTAGCCACTGAAAAATATGAAACATTTCACAGCCTCGTAAAATTTCATGAAATATTTCACGGAAATTTCCAATTTTTCTTTCCTTCTTACGTTTCATGGCATCCTGTCTCTACTTTACTGAAGCAGTAACTAGGCTTAATATCTTACGGCTTACTTACTTTGGCTTCAACATTTCTCGCACGGCTTCATAGATAGTATCGTTTGTGATACTGTAGTAGTCCACGTATTTTGAGACTTTTTTTGCTTCTAACGACTTCACATTCATGGGCTGATCACCAAACATCGGAATCCCTACCATAGGTTTCCCTTCGGTCATGGCTTCCAGGGTTCCCAACAAACCCCCGTGCCCGATGAACAGCTTAACTTTTGGGTGTGCTGCAAAATTAATCCAGAAAAAATTGGATCGCGTTTAGCGGAAAGGAATCAAGCCACATCAGCGATTGCCATGTTCAAGTGGGCAATTTAATTGTTTAAAAGAAAACGGTTGTGTGGATCCTTGTGCAAATTTCAGTGAGTTTTCTGCATAGTAAGTACGAAGCATCAGGGACGCCTCCCTGATGACCTGTCGGAGGACCGAGTTTTGTGACGGTTAGGCGTTGCAGAGCGCCGGAGAGCGCTGTGAGAGCGACTCTTATGTATGTTATGTAAGTACGAGGCAAATTTTTTAAAAGTTTGAGAGGAATCCGCACAAACGCTCTCTTGTAAAAAATTAAATAGCCCAGTTAAATTTGGCAATAGTTTATGTAAATTCTGCTAATCACGGTTCATTAGCGCTTTGAAAAACAAAATTCCGTTTTAAAACACACCGAAATCAATTCAGTGCCCTTTTTTACTTGTGGCATGCGTGTCATGGGTGAGAGAGAGGTTTCAATCAACGAAAAAAGAAAATTATGACGATTTTTGAGTTCATTTTATTTTATTTTTTTTTTCTACCGAATTTTGAGTGAATTCTTAAGCAGAAGACGTGAACTCGTGTTGCTGAATATCTTACGCTGGTTGGCACTCTTTTAATAATTACAATAACAATGATACATCTTTTTTGTATTTCTACATTATTGCATCTAGTAAATGTGCCTCGGCAGCTTAGCGACAGATTATAGCCTAGATGCGCATGAAATCACAAAATTTTATCAGTTTAATCTAACATACCAGTGCATTTTGGCAAGCGCCATCATCAGGCAACCATATGCAGGAAAATGTATTGGTATGTTAGATTAAATTAATGCAATTTCATAATTTTACATATCTAGGCTAATCTTGTCAAGTCAATGATACAACCATTAAAATTAAAATATATGTATTTATAGACATAGGGAGGCACAGTACCTAAAATATCCCTTTGAGGCATCCATTCCTTAATCATGACGTTGCTGGGTGCAGATACATTCTCGTCTTCAAATTTCCACAAAACGCGCTCCTTCAGTTTTGAAAAAGTGTAGAGGAAAGCGTTCTTTTTGTGCTCGGGGAACGTGGCCGCTCTTAACAGGGATCCCATGCAGAAATATATAACACCGTCGGGAGAATCTTCGATGAATTTCTCAATGTCCTGTTAAAAAAAATAAAAAAATAAAATAAAGAAAGAAAAAAAATTCAGTAAAGATTATGTCTGAAACAAAGTAGTGAAACAGTGCCGGGCCCACACTTTTTTGCGGCCCCTATTTTGCGGGAAGAACAAGGTCAGAAAAGTTCAAAAATTTCCATTGGAGTAAAAAACGATGAGCTTTATAATTAGCGCGCATCAGTGCAAGTCTAATGAGTATTAGTGTTAAGTGTAAAATTGTGTCATTGAGTTATCAGATTTGCTTCTACGTCAAGAGTCCTTTGTTACGTGCAAAAATGGTATGCTGTTTTTGCACCTAGGATGTCAAAAATGTGTCTGGTCATCCTAAGATGCTACCGTGATTGCCCATGGAGTTGAATTTGCATTCGCAGGATGTAAAGTTAACTGAGAGGGCTGTAAAGGCAGCATTTTGGGATCACCAGACACATTTTTGACATCCTAGGTGCTAAAACAGCATAATATTTTTTCAGTGTGATGCTTGAACGGCCCCTAAAGTTTCATCAGTTAGGCAAAATTTGAACGAAATCTTTGAGCTGGCTCCAAGAGGGGTAGTCTTTTGACAGGCTCTTTGTTTGAAATTTATAGATTCCGTTTAGGGAAAAATTACCCAATCTGCCGTTCACAGTAAAAACGCCGTAACTCCAATCATCTGCAGCACTTGGCATTTTTCTTGCGCACATACTGTTCTTTTGCAAAAAAAACCTAAATAAACTAAAATGTTTCATTATGTACATTGTGAATTCTCAGAGGCACGCCACAGTTATTTTGAAACTAATAAGGATAAATGGACCACGTTAAGCAGAAAGCAACCAAGCCACATCAGTTAATGCCAAATTTAATTTGGCCCTGCCATTCTTTACATGGGAGCCGTTGTGCGGTATTTTGGGCATAATTCAGTGCATTTTCTGCATGATACGAGGCAAATTCCTTAAAATTGTCAAGGGATCTCAAACATTCTCCCGTAAAAAAAATATACTGCGCAATTTAATTTGGCAATTGCTGATGTGGCTCGGTTTCATTCTGCTTTACGCGGTCCAAATGGTCGTTGGTTTTCCGTAGAGTCCCTTTATACCCAGAGTTAAGACATCTCGATTATCAGCTGGCCATGGAGGCACAAAAGAGTGCACTCAAACGAACGATATTGAGGGATAAGGATAAGGAATCCTGCGATGTCTGTCATCCAAAAACATTAACATCAACAAAACTGATCAAAACCTAACCGAAGAAACTGCAAGAAAATAAAATTTGATTGATTAGTGGATGATTTATTAATCTATTTTCATTTTGGTGCGATGAAAATAACAATTCACTCTTGATAATCCACAATTTAGTTATAATTTCATTACTTTTGTTCACATTCGAGGTACCGCCACCTTGGTGCACTCGTTTGTGACTCCACGAGCGAGAACCAATCAGAATTGGTTTTTTTTTTTTTTTTTGGGCCACTTTCAGCCCAACCAGAGCCCAACCAAAAGTGAGATGTCGTAACTCTGGGTATAAAGGGACTCTAGTTTTCGGTGAAAATCTGAGGAGCTAAACCAGAGGTATACGGCGTTTTTGCTGAGAGGGCGGCAGTAACGCTCTTTGAAAAAAAAAAAAAAAAAAAAAAAAAAAAAAAAAAAAAAAAAAAAAAAAACCACTCACCCTAGGGAGCCTTTTCGCAGGCTCCACGTGGACACCTCCAACATCAACAACTGTAGACGCGAAGGGCCGTCCACCATGAATCGTGGAATGTGAGTTGCCCAATATGAGACTCGTACTCTTCAAGATATCCAAAATCGGCGGAACGTCATCCCCGAAATGGCGCCTCATGATCCGCTCGTTGGCCGGGACGAAGAAGGCGTGCCAGGCGACGAGGTTGGTGATGAGCCCGGCCGTGTTGCGGACCCGCTCGAAGAAGGACATCCGAGGGCTGAACTGGGAGAGGAAGTGGGGCACGAAGGCCGGGTTCTGCGGGTTCGCCAGGAAGTCGCTCGTCCACGGCGGCAGCCCGCAGGAACTGAGGAGCACCAGCGGGGCTTTGAACTTGTGCACGAAGCCCAGCATCATGTCCGGCACGAAGGACTCCGTTATGATCAGATCGTACCTGCAATAAGAAAAGCGCTTATTTCGTGCTGATAAATGTGCTGGGCCTTGTCTCCACTGGATGTTTCACGGGATTTGTCCCTGGGAAACATCCCACTTACGAAGTTGGGAAAAATATTGAGTTAATCAATATTTTTCCCAGTGCCAAGTATGGTCCTTGTACCCCTATGACCCACTGAGAGAGGAAGAAGAAGTGAAAACGAGTTGTGCGATATTTTATTCATTACTCCATTGTTAATGTTTGTTAAGTTAAAATAATGTGTCTGATCGTCAATTGAGTGCAATTATTATTTTAATCCCCGTTAAATACTCGACTTTAAGTACTTTATCCTCCCGCGCAAACTAGTCGCAGGACTGTATGAGCCCCGTCCCGTGGAGACGGTAAGTGGGTAAATTCCCAGAAGTTTCATTCCTGCGATTCGAACTTGGGAAAAATCCCATGAAAACGTCCCGTGGAGGCAAGGCCCTATGTAAATCAAGAGAAACTATACCCATCTTGACAAACGAGCAAAGAACACATAGAAATGGCCTGAAGAGTATGTAACAAGGTGGTGAAATTGTGCTGGGTCCACATCACCCCGGGTGGGGGGGAGGGGGGCTACAAGTTTCAAAAATTTCAATTAGAGTCAAACATTTTTGAACTCTGATGAGTACCAGCATAAGACTGATCTGAATGCTCTCCCTCCTCAGTCTTGTCTTGACACTCATTAGAGTTCAACAAGTTTCGACTGATTGAAATTTTAGGAACTTTTTGGCATTTTTTCCCTCTTAAAATGGTGTGGACCCAGTGCCATTTAACCACCCATATTGACATGACCCCTGAGATCCATATGAATACGCGCATAACAGGGCTATGTCACAACGAATACAGTTTATTTTGAAATAAATACCTTCAAATATGTTCGGATGTAGCCTCCTGACCGCTTCGCGGCCTAGGCTACAGCGGACTGATTCTTGCAATTGACAGACAAAGCGCTAGATAAAGAAGACCTAGTGAGTATGGAGCGATCCTGTTGGTTGAAGATCGTGGTTCTTATAGACTAAGGGGGTAAATGATGGACTAACTATAGGGTCTCTCGTGGGTTGCCGTTAGTTAGTCTGTTACCACCTCCTTTGGTCATGGCAACCATCCGCTTCCACCAATAGGATCCCTCCATGGATCTCTTGTCTTCTTCCTCTATAGCTTTGTCTATCAATTTCAAAACTCAGCGTGCAGGAGACGCTTCGAATACTTTAATGGCCCCTATCTCAGTCATTTTTCAAAAATAACATGAAACCGAGAGAATCTTGACGTTTATGATACTCTAGAGAACCTGCTGATAGCCACAAAATTGATGGAAATGGGGTCCTTAAATCTCTAACACAAACTGTGAAAAAGTGTTTGAATTTGTATTGTTTTAATAGGAAAATTCAAAATTTCATCACACAGGAAAAAAATTCTCGTTTATCTTTAAAAAATTGGAAATGAACGGGTTCGTTTAGAAAAGGTAGTTGACTTATGGAGTTTGACGCGATTTTCGCCTTCATTTCCTGCTGATACCAATCATCATACTACTCTGTCGTCTGAAGTAAAAACACCGCGCCGTAATCTTAGTCTGCGTTTTGCATTCCTTTCTCATTCATTGTGCTCTCTACAAGAGAACCTGACTGCCAGTTGATTTCATCTTGTCATTGCGGTATGTTCGACTCGTTTCGAACAAATGAAGATGAATATTGGTTGGCTCTCTTGTAAAATAGAACTAAAATAGAACTTCTTTTTTAGAGTAATTAAAACAAAATTCCAATCATACCTCTCATTGGATTTCAGCAATTTCTGAACGGCCTCAGACTCCATAACCGCAGCATGCTCTTCAATCTTGGAGTAGAGCACCAGGGTGCCGAGAATATTGAAGATATCCAATTTGCCGATGGTTTCGAAGTGATCGAAGGGCATCTGATTGTTCGGTAGTTCTATTGAGCCCAGAACGCTTAAATCCGTGTAGTTCGCTATGGGCGTTTGCTGAGGGTAGTGACTCAACACATGTACCTCGTGGCCACGCTCTGTTAGGCCTTTCATTATGCTTTTGAACATCACGATGTGACTTTGGCCGTTGTAAGGGAATAGTCCCAAAATTTTGTACCCGCAGACATCCCTCGTTTTCAGGAGCAGGGCAAGCATTACCCCCAAGAGGAACTTGTAATCCATTTTTTTAAGAACTCTTAAATTTAAATAAAAGGTTGAACGTATTTAAAATACTAGATTTTTTCTGTGCACGACTTTGTAAGTAGACTTGTGTGAAGCTATTCGTATTTCCATTCTAAGTTTCACGTGGATTTAAAATTCTTTCAGAGCACGAAATCTGGAAAAAACCCACATATAAGGGAGAAGTGGATTAAAATATATTTTATAACAATGAGAAAGATTTTGAATCTCCAAAATGAAAATCACCAGAGGCAGATGTAGGGAGGACGCCAGAGTGACGGTCTATGTCGGAAAAATTCTAAACAGTGGCAATAAGTGGTCACCTCCCGGCCAAAGTATCACAATCGCCATGCGAAGTTTAAAAAATTCCGCCATGATGTTATTTTCTTACAAAGAAATTGTTAAAGAAAGCTATCCGAAAATTTCACTGAATTTTTCTTTGTGCTGCCGATAAAATTTTCAAATAGATTGAACCAAAAATTTCTCTGTAAAAATAAAATGACAGCGGAAATTGTGAAACGTCGCATGGTGCTTGTGATACTTTGGCCGGAAGGTGACAGATAATGGCGAAGGGGGGGGGGGGGGGGTCTTTTATCATCATCTTGAAAAGGGGGCGGAGAAATCAGAGTCTGCAATTTTGAGCATCATGAGAAATTTCGAAATTAAAATTAAGAGCCAGAGAAAAGAAACTAAAATTTTGGGAGAAATCGAGTTAAGTGAATTCTCGATATACTTGCCCTGGTAGAAATGGTTCTAAAACAAACGTAAAAAACTTGTTCTGGTAAGAGCTCTATGTATGTAAAAAATGCCTTATGATTCCTAACACCATGCTCAAGATATAAAGTTTTAAAATTTGCAAAATACGACAGAAGATTGAATTTTTATTTAATTTTTCGAAGTAAATCATCTATGCAAGATCGGTGTCCAACATTTTGACCAAAAGTAAGCTTCAAATTTAGAAAGCATCTGAAATTTGGCCGCTTGCGACTATTTCCTGTTCCTTTCGCCAAAACATACTGCACGCTTCTAAGTAATATCTACGGTCAGTAGGTTATCTTACTAAAAATAAAGCTCAAGCACTTAAGCCGCTAATTCCAACTGATAGTTGTAATAAATTGGGCTTATCGCTTACTAGCATGCATAGGTGTCAGTTTATCCGGGTCTTAAGTAAAGTACTCACACATTGAGAACGATTAAAGTGATTTCCGCAATGTAATTTTTGCGCTAATTAAGAAAGTGGCTCGAAATCCTAGTGAAAGTGTTTCACTGAGCCAATTATCTTGTTTTGTATTGCGAAAATAATTTTGCAACAGACAATTCGACTAGCTGATCATTTGTGCGGAGCATTGAGTACGCTTCTATAATAGTTTATTGTTGCTGTATTAAGGTAAAGTCGTAGTCATTGCGGGAAACTTTACAAATCGACGAAGAGGCGTTTGTAACACGGGTTTTCTACACACACGGTATTAACATTAATTGCACTGTTAAACAAAAAAAGAAGATTCAAATTAAAAATCAAAGAAGTAAACTTCTTCATCAACATAGGAAAGAAGTGTTGAAGAACCTCTAAGTAAAAAGAGGTGATGATCATAATTTACTGACCCAAATAAAATATTTTTTGTCTCTGACTAGTGCATTTTTAAAAGTGCCCATCAAATTAATTTTACTCTGAAATGAGGTTGAGAAATCTCCAATCTATGATAAAGTAAATAACGTTTCTATTAATGGGTCAAAATCGATTTGCCAAATTTTTCCTCTCCAGGAGCACAAACAATTTTTTTACGAAAAAAAAAACAAAAAAAAACGAAGAAAACATGGTAAATAGCAAAATTGTAAAACAAGTTAGGTGGGCCAGCTATCGAACACCATTCACTAGTATTTAATAAAAAAAACACACTTAAAATTCAGTTTTCTTTCCAATATTTTATACCGCTTCTTTTCCAAGATTGTTTACGTAAAATGATTGAACTTTCATTATTTATATACTGACTTTTCTTGGTACCTGCAACTTGTAAACTCATAGAAATGACTAGTTTCAAATTTTTCCAGGAGTTGTATTAAAAGCTGAGCACTGTTAGAGTTCAGATAATTCGGTGATTTACCATGAAGTTTTGTACACGTTATCTCTGCCTGGGCACTTGAACCTAATTTTTAGGATTATCTATAAGACACTTCATCGTATTTCAAAGCGCCGGAAAGGCAAGTCTCAAATGATAATTTGCATGATAAGAAAGAGGAGATATTATATCATTTGCTATCGTAAATCTCAGGTTTTTGACTCCATCATAATTAAGCCCCCCTTCCCCGGCCGCCATGCGGTCTTGACATTGAATAGCGCTCCACACATTTAAGGCGAGCCTCTGGCGGGAATTCAATACCCACCAATGATTTGAACATTTGAAGACTGCAATGGAGAGGTTATTGACTGCCAACTGTAAACATTCTTCGACATCTTTCCGATTATAGATCTGCACAGGTACAACTACAACGAAAATACAAATGTGTGGAAATTTTAGTAATAGTTTTAGAGCATTTCACCGATATTTCCATCTAAAGTCATCCTGATGTGTCCTTGCTGCGAGAAATTTGTACGATTTCTAAATTATATTTATGCAAATAACCACTAGATAAGGTAAAAAATTCAGCATTCTGATATACATGTTATACCATGTAAAATACCAATTAAATATCTCTTGTTTTTTTTAAAAAAAAAGAGTGACGACAAGGTAACGATCAATTTTGCGGCGCATAAATACAATCCCTCCTTCAAAAAAGAAACGATCATATTCACAAGATGCCAATCATCACTGAATTATTTTAATCGATTTTGCCTCGAGGCTTTTTGTTGATAAATTTCATCTCACTCAGACTCACACCCTAAAAATCTCTTGAGCACCTCAATTAGGGATCACACAGTTTGAATTTATAAAAATTGCCTAAATTGAAAATTCCGATTGGAATTTTTCATGGCATGGGATGGGCTCAAGCCCATGCTTCAGTGAGACACGCCTCATTTCATTGTGTTCGCCTATAATGGATCGTGTTCGATACATCGAGCAGGTGAGATTGTATCGATATCGATTGGTTCAACGTGGAAACTAAGACTCAAAAGTCAATTGAGTCTTCTGAGGGAACGGGTCTCTATTGATAGATTTTTGATTCTTCTGATAATATTTAATGGCAATGGAAAGTGAAATGGTCACAAATTTTCTCATTTTCAGATTTTCATGCATAAAATCATAGAATTTTCGTTTGAGCTATTGTTTTTGAACCAAACGATCCATCAAGCCACTATCTAATACGACCTACATGACAACAGGAAAGTAGAAGTGGAAACAGCCTCGGAAAAAATTTAACTAAATCCGCAATATGGCAGCTGGGTAGCAATTCTGCTGGCCCTACATGAGTATTATTTTATTTGAAAAAGAATGCGCGCTTTAATTTGAGAATTTTCATCGGGCAGTTGCTTTGACCTCGTCTTCTGGAGACCTCCCTAATAGTAAATGTCTTATTTTACTTGAATGCACATTCTAAAACTGCCTCTTTCTATCCGCAATGAGAATAATCAGTTGCACAGGCTCAGCGGAGGTATTTCTTGAATCTTAATATATATCAACTTTCAATGTGAGGGTAGAAAAGTTTCTGATATCCTTTATCTAAATACTTTTTTGGTACAAAATAAACAGTATCGGTTGTGATATTATCTTCTTTAAAAATTGTTCGTATTTTTATTCTCATAATTCATGTCCAATATTTTTGACTTTGTAAATGTATGAAGTAATACTATTCCAACGTTGATGAAAATCTCGATCAAATCAACACAGAGAAAGCAGCGCACTGAAGAGGGCCCGGTCTTGTCATTAGGAAGGAGAATATGGGTTAAGTACCTTGCGAACTTTTATGATGCGGCTTTGATAGTCTAAAGTTAGTGAGTTAATTTTATGAGACATTCAGCATCTCAGGCTGAGAGTGCAAATACGAAAATTTATCTAAAGAGCTGCACGCATGTGCTCATCATCTACTGAATGTGTGACCACTTATTTTTTAATTTCAAGAACTTGGCACTCCCTTACTACTGAAACCGAGTTCAGCAGAATTGAGGGAATTTCTTTTGTTTTATTCCTGAATCGATAGAAATGTCATTGATATCTTCAAATAGACTCTTTATAAATGCAATCATTCGCTTTAATTCTCTCCGTCAAGTGGTTTGCCCCATTTAGGAAGCGTTCATAATTAAGTGAATTACATTTTGCAATAAGGAACCACTATTCCTGGCCCATTTTAGAAAAAATGTACATGCTATCGGTTTCCCATGCAGATATGTGCTTTTCTGGAAGAGCCAGAAATAGTGGTTACTTATTGCAAAGAGTAATCCAAATATTATCAAATGCACGGTGAGAAAGACGGAAAGAGAATAAGTTTTTTGATGCTGCGCACCTCCGGCCGTCCATCTTGCCTCCCCCCCCCCTTGTCTGCCGTACCAATTAGGAACGCCGTATGATCCATCAAGCGTTGCCAGTTCTTTCTCGACGAATCAAGAATTTTCCGGAAAATGTGGGAGCATTTCTCCTCCGATTTTTCAGAGGGTTTTGTCGAAATTTGATCTAAAAAGTCTGAAAGTATCAAGGAAAAAAATTCATAACTTTCCTTGAAAATACATGTTTTCGGAGGAAAAATTCAAAGGCTTATATGGAATTTTTACTTAGCGCGGCAGTCCTCCCCCCCCCCTTCCAAGAACCTTGAAAGTTTCGGCTCATGAGGAAAATGTTTTGCTACTCGATATAAGTAAGGAAGACTTTTTTAAAGTTAAAACTGTTGTCTTAAAAGGCACGATTGGTACCTTAAACAGTCGCTTCAGGTCCCTAATGCGTGAACAAATTGCCATTCTTAAAAAAACGTGACGCCCTTTTGGAGAAGGGCGTCTGATCGTGCGGTATGGGAGCGTTGCAGGGGGGTGGTAGGGTTCTTGAGCTGTGTACTGCCATGCTAAGGAAAAACGCCGTATGAACCTTCAGATGTTGCCAAATTTCCTTTGATAAAACACGAATTTCCTGGTAAAGTTGTGAACATATTCCTTCCAATTATTCAGATAATTTTGCTCCCAATTCCACCGAAAAGAGAAAATATTTATAACTTTCCTAAAAAATGAACATTTTATGAAAGGAAATTTGGCAACTCTTGAATATTTATACGGTGTTCTTCCTCAGCACGGCCGTGTATTTTTGTAGAGGGGGGGATCGCATTTCTGCATTACGGGTGCATAATGAGAGGGGGGCTGTCAAAATCCGATTTTTCATGAGCGGCCTCTGATAAAAATCTACAAACCTCGGATCCTCGCGAATATCTTTGATGATAATTACACCAGACAACAAAGTCCACAAAATTATTCCGACTCAAGGACACTGGACACACACAACACCGGGCGCTGCCACTCAAGATCCCCACTCTATTGGCACGCGAAAAAGTTGACTGACCACCTCGGTCGGATGCGTCGACCGCGGGACTCGCCTCTCGATTGACGGATACTATTTCACCCTCGACAGGCCTCACGTCCCGCCGCGAACTTTTCCAACGGAGAAGCCACACGAATCGCCGAGCTATCCAAATGTTCACCCGCGCGAACTTTCCGCCGAGCTTTTCGCGGGGAAGCCGCCGCGGGCGAAATTCAGCGGCGCGCGCTTTGTGCGTAAGTCACTGCATCGCTTGGGACATACTGACCTTTATTTGCGCGGTCAGAGATGAGCTCTGCTTGATTTATTTCCGTCGCCCGCTTCGGCGCACAGTAGATCGAGTCGATTAGAGAGGTCAGACACAATTTGGAAATTTTAAACGCTTATTACTCCGCTTATACACAACTTTGAGGTTCTGAAAGCGGTTCCATTGGTTTTCCCGTGAAATTTTCTTCTTAAAGAACCTCTTAAAATTCAAAATAAGGTATGATAAACATCAAAATTTGCAGTTGTGGTCAAAAATTTCGTGTTTGGCCTCTCTAATTTACTCGATCCATTGTGCGTCGTTGATGCCTCTCTTTCTTTCGGCTTTTCTGCATTTGGAAGTATTCCTGCCGAACAGAACTATGTGCATCAAGACATGCCCTAGAGATTCATAAACGCTTATGACTCCAATTACACAAATTTTTGAGGTTCTTAAGGTTGAGGTGATTCCATAGGTTTTCTCATGAAATTTTCTCATACTAACACCCTTGAAAGTTTAAAATGAGACGAAATAAACATCAAAATGTGCAGTTTTAGAAAAAAATTTCATGTCCAACCTCTCTTATTGACTTGATCCACTGTGCGGCGCGCTGTGGTGGGTTCGCCAGGTGAATGCGGTGAAAATCACGAGAGGGTCCACCGCGCTGCCATGATAGTGAAGAGAGCAGAAAGTGCAATTTATGAAATTTTGAGAAAACTGGCTCAGAAGCGTCTGACCGGAAAATTTTATTGCAAGAAGTCTCCGTTCTTTGTAAAATGGACTCTTATCATCTGAGCGACTCTTAAAAATTGTTTGTTGAACGCTTATAACTCCGTTCATACAAAACTTTAAGGTTCTAAAAGTTGTTCCGTTGGTTTTCTCCTGAAATGTTTTCCTTGGTAATGCCCCTGAAAGTTTAATATGTGACGAAATAAACATCAAACTGTGCAGTTTTAGTCAAAGATTTCATGTCCGACCTCTCTTATTGACTTGATCCACTGTGCGGCGCACTGTGGTGGGTTTGCCAGGTGAATGCGGCGAAAATCACGAGAGGGTCCACATCCACATATAGCGCTGCCATGATAGCGATAAAAGCAGTAAGTGCAATTATATGATGTTTTGAGAAAACTGGCTCCGAAGCGTCTGACCGGAAAATATTGCAAGAAGTCTCCGTTCTTTTGTAAAATTGCCACTAATCATCTGAGAGACTCCTAGACATCGTTTAGATTATTAAAAATCGACAGATTTTATTTCAATTACATGAAAAGGGTATTTTCCATTTTCATGCTAGGCTATTGTTAGGCAAAACAGCCGTAAGTGCTATCTTCTGCATGCTTTCGTGGTTACATTTTGGACACAAAACTGACACATTTCAGGTTAGAAATCTCTGAAGAGGGCGGATTTTTACTTGAAAGCACTGATTTATTTGCCTCTTTGGAGGAATAATGTCACTTACTGCTGTTTTGTCTGAATCTACGTCATTTTTCGCGCATTTAGGGCTTTCTCATATGCCTCGTTTTCATACAATCAAGATGAATTTCGCTGTTTTAGCTATTTCAGTGGGTTCAAACGAAAAGAGATTTGACGAATTTTGAAGGGAACTCGATTTCGAAAAGTTGACACTCACTGCTCTCTTCGCTTTCACGGCAGCACGGGCCACTAAGTAGCTCAAATTGGGCGCCTCCCGCCTGTGTAGGTCCTCTTCGCTCCCTACCATAGAGAGATTGGGCAAATGAGAGTCGGGTATGAAAATCTTTTCATTTTTTTTGGTCGTCTTTTTTTCAAAGCGGGCCTAAGACAGCAACGAAACGCCTCCTGGGGGTTGGGCCGTGTAGCGGCCAGGGGACATAGCCCCCTGGTGTATACTTATTGAACCAATCGATATCGATACAATCTCACCTGTTTGATGTGTGAAATACGATCCATAATCGTCGAAACCGACCCATTCTCGTATTGCGTCATCTCTAGACCAGAGAGAGAATGACCACCTTTGATTGTCATGCAAAGAAGGACGAGACCGCATATCCGACATTTGAGTCCATGAAGATTGACATGAGGGAGATTTCAGGGACAAATGAATGATGAAGAGAGAGAGAATACAGCGGCGTGGCGTGCTTTGCGATCTATCGATTGATCTCCCATCTAAACCTGTGGATAAGGATCGATAAACAGAGTACTCTCAATGAACACCTTAAAAATCGATTCCTCCCAACAGTTTCAAAAAGGGAAATATCGATAGTCGACCATTTACGCCTCGCATCTGGAGAAGATGCATCTGTGGAGCATCAATACGGCTAAGATGCCAAGTCGTGGATAAAATTCGACGGTGAAAGTCGGCAATCACATAACTCGTTTGCGGTGTCTGAAAATCTCCGCCTCTACGTCATTTTTTTAAAGGAGAACAAATCGATATTATTTCTTGAAGTTTTTGCAGAATTTTCTTCGCATTGAGAAGAAAAATCATGACAGTTTTAAAGAATTGCCGTTGAGTAGTTTTCCATTTAAAAAATAAAGTATGAAAGGAAGTCTGCGACGTCGCAAACCGAGTTATGTGATTGCCGACTTTCACCGTCGAATTGGGAGGTTTTAGTTTCAACAAACTCGCCTTAGTGTAAAAGCATGAGGTTTTTACACTCATTAGAGGTTACTATCAGTAAAATACAAAATAATTTTCGTTTTTTAGAATAGCCTCTTCAAGAAAATCTATTGGGGAAGATAATCTATCTTATACTTATTATTTTTATCCCAAGAAAAATCATCCGAAAATGTTAACAATGAGATTCATCATCCGAAAAGCTTTATTTTTCCCTCAGATTCAGCCGCTTCTAAAAAATTAGTCTTCAAAATTTGTTTTCAATTTTGTGTTACTTTACACTTTTTAGTATTGAGCTCTATTCTGCCGTGCTAAGAAAGAACGCCGTATGAGCATTCGAGAGTTGCCAAAATTTCCTGTTCATTTTTGAGGAAAGTTATAAATATTTTCTCTTCAAATTTTCAGGATTTTTTGGTGGAATTCCGAGAAAAATTATCTGAAAAATTGGAAGAAAAATACTTATATGCCTACCGAGAAATTCGAGTTTCATCAAAGGAAAGGCAACGCCTGAGGGTTCAGAGGGTGTTCTTCCTTAGTGCGCCAGTATTGGGGTTCGACACATCGTCACCTTCCGGGCAAAGTATCACAAGCGCCATGCGACGTTTAAACATTTCCGCCGCCATTTTATTTTTTTACAGAGAAATTGTTCAACGAAGCTGTCCAAAAATTTCACTGAATTTTCTTTGTGCTGCCAATAAAATTCAGTGAAATTTTCAAACAAATTCAACCAAAAATTTTTCTGTACAAAAATAAAATGGCGGCGGAAATTTTTAAACGTCGCATGGCGCTTGTGATACTTTGCCCGGAAGGTGACGACATATTCGTTTTTACTTTAATGACTGCAGTTTTACTCTCTACGATATGTCGTAGAGGACTTATATTCCGTCTTTCAAATAGTCTTTTTTGAGCTTACAAAACGGAGCTTGAGGCAAGACAAATCCTTGAGTCCGAATTAAGCCCATCATCACAATACGAATTGTGCGTGCAATTTTGAAGTAGTCATCACAGGCTGTGATTAACGCTCCGTATTAGAAATTTAAAATAGGACATTTCCATGGAACAGCATTCTGATTCCGAGAATTCTAAAAAGAAATCGAAAAGTTTTTCTTACCTTATTCTTTTGAAAAACATTAAACATAATTCGCGCGGCCATGAATTAGAACAATTCTACATAATTTTGAGTTTGCCCATGGCGCAATTTGGGTCATCCGATAAAAAAATCCCAGGTCAGCTCTACCGTGCTAAGGAAAAACGCCGTATAAGCCATTAAGTATTGCCGAAGTACCTTCGACGAATCATAAAGTTCTAGGATATATTGTGAGTAATTCTCTTCCCATGTTTTTGAAAGATTTCGTTCATAATTTGATCTTAAAAGTCTGAAAATTTCAAGGAAGAATATTTATAACTTTTTCAAAAATAAATATTTTCTGATAGGAAATTTGGCAGCATTCGAATGCTCATATGGCGTTCTTCCCAGTGGCGAGGCCTGAAAGATCGATTATCGATATTTCCCCCATTCGAAGCTATGGCAAAAAATCGATTATTAAGGTATGCGCTGCGAACACCCTGTTTATCAATCCTTTCCCATAGGTTTCAGTGGCAGATCAATCAATACATCGCAAAGCATGCCACGCAACTAGTTCCTCTTAGCAAGGCAGTATGCCTCAGATGACCAATTCCTGAGTTCTTGCATTTAAGCCTGCAACACCTTACACAACTTCTGAGTAGAAACCGACATGCAACGTGATAATTTCTGTGTTGACAATTCTCGCGTTGCGCGAGGGGGAATCAAAACAAACACTCTGTCGGATGCAGCAATTATATAATTAGTTAACATTTATAAGTTCAAAATAAGGTTTTCAATTATCATCTACGCTCTTGCATTACGTGCCTGTCTCCCTCCTATGAGATTATAGCGACAACGGGAGCATGACGATGCTAGAGGAGTATTTACCGACGGATTACAACGATGGGCGAATTATTTACTTTTTCAGCTGATAATAATCCGCAAATATACAAACACCAACCCATAAACATCATACTTTCAACCGGGGCGAAGGCTGAGAGCATGAAGCAAAGCATGATTCCAGGATTTAATTAATATTTATGGACTGCAGTGGCGATTCTTACAAGTTGGTATTACTGTTTTTCTCGGTTTAATGTATAGGTATTAAACAATCGATTCTAGGTAAGGCAGCCTCTTTCACCAATCAACAAGACTCGATATGTTCAATGGATTTAAATGGAGTATTGACAGTGTTGCCAATTTGCTGGAATCGCCACCGATTGACTGTACACAAAACCAGTCGGGACTCAACGCCCTGGTAAACTGAGAAAGAAACTGTTGAGATTGCCAAATTTCTAGAGGAATTTCTTTAAATTTTGCTCTCGCCAAATGTGATTTTCGGGCCATCTATTTAAAATAAAAAATCTGTAAAATAGAACAGAATAAGACAAAATTCTTGAAACTAGTGGAATCTGATTCATGACAAGACTAAAGATTTTGGCTCATAATATTCCTCAAAAATGTTCGATGAAGTTTTTGAGTATATCTTTTCATCTCGAATAAAACGCTAAAATTGGTTGTGAAATAAGAGATTTTTTCCGCTCATACAAAATCGCCTTCACATCATAAAGTATGCAATTACAGCTCAAAATTATTTCCTCTCGAATTTTTACCGCACGAAACCTCTAATTGAGAAAATAGCGTTTGCAGGATTGACTATTATTGAATAAAAATATTAGCAGTATTATAACAGAATATCGCAACATACAGCAGAATCAGTATAATTTCATTTTTCATTTCATATTTCATATTTCTTACAACTTTATATGGCAAACTATAAATCTCTTTTGAAATAAATCTTTCGAAAAGGGCGGCTGTCTGCCGTTTTTTTCTACTTTAAATGTTCACTAATTAATTTTCTTCTCTCTTCGTTTTTTCTCAACTCCTCATAACCTTGAAAATTGATTCAAAAGGACGTGTGAGAGTGCATATTTAGCATAAAACATTGTTCTTTTTTTTCAGAAAAAGAAAAAAACAAACAAATGAACACATTCAAAGATGTTCTTTTAAGCTGCGGAATCGTACGTACCAAATATTCAATGCAATATTAAATCTTTTTTTATCTGGCATTCGCATGCTGGAGGCTTGTGTAGATCAGCGTTTTTTCTTCCTTTTTTTCTTTTTAATGTCTCGCAATCCCCGCGAATACTATTACCTGCCCTACTATGGGCATAGTTGAGTCATGATGTAATCGATGTTAATATTAATGATTCGCCAAAATTTGGCATATGATCTGACGAAGTTCCCACATAATCTATCACAATGACTCGAGATAGGAAATTACCTCGCGCAACCTGTATCTCCCAAAAGTTCCTTCCTCAAAAATTCACAAACAAAAAAGTTGACCAGTGCTAGAACACAAAATGCTTCATCCTGTTTTCAGAATAAATTAATCTACTCAGTAAAAACACTTCATACTTATTTTTAGCAATGCAACACGCGCATTGGAAGAAATTAGCCCAGCGCGCAACTTTCAGTAGCGCTGAAGTACAATACTAGGAATGTGTTTAACAGGACCACACCTTTTAATAAGCGCAGTAATGAGATTTATTTACAAATTAAGTTTTTTTTTTTTTTTTTTTTTTTTTTTTTTTCAAGTAACTCATCATTAATACACATGAGTCTGATCTTTATCGTTGGGAACAAATCATGGTCAGGAAGTAACGCGACAGAAAAAATGATTAACCGCAAACTCTTCTTTGTTAATGGCTTAAAATTTATTGCTCTCCGACCAGCGTGCTTGTAAACTGTAGCTGCTTGGAATTCAGTTTAGCTTTTTATGTAATTATATAACAGTTGGGATTTGACGGGCTCAAATTTTCACTTCATCAGTTTTAGTGTTGACAGAGTGGAAAATTTTGAATCACTTTTGGCGACGTGTAATTTTAATTTCTCAGATCAGTCTTCTTCCATCCGTGCTCGTCCTATGTGAAAAGTGTCAGAGTTTCTTTCTGAGTGTTTCTTTATTTTAGAGTTTGATCATCACTTCTTGCGTAAGTTTTGTAGCTATTCTTAATATATTATCAATTTTTCCCTTCAAACTCAATTTCTTATTTATGAAGCATTTTACTTATTTTTTAGAAAGCCGAAATGCAAACTGTATGTTGGCTCAAGATGATTAAATGCACCTAAACACGAACCATAAAGTCCTCACGATTGGGTATCCATCGTTTTATGTGTTCGACAGGGAAGAACCGACTGTTGCCAAATTTTTAGAATCGCCTCTGTTAATTTTCAAATGGATGTTAAACACTTGAGACAATATCACAAGACGCAACGACTTCAGTTTGATGTGAAACATAATGAAAGAGAAGAAATTGGAAAACTTTGTTTACGGAAGAGTTAGTCAACATTTAAGAAACTACGATCATAGTTTTGAAGTGCAGTTAAGACATACGACACAATTTTTTACAGACTTGGATGCAAACGGCCACTAGGTACTTTGTCCAGGACCATTCTTTTATTTCCGTTCCGCAAAATGACAGACAAGGATCTAAATTCGGACTTTCAGAGCCCAGGAAAAGTGAGTTTTGCGGCGGAACAGACGACGGAATCGGAAATTCAAAAATTTTTTATCGGTCAAAATGTGCTCATCACTGGTGGGACAGGATTTCTCGGAAACGTGCTCATCGAAAAGTTGTTGCGGTACGTTATTTAATGAATTTTTAAAGCTGCAGCCATTGATCAGCACATACAACTTTGAAAAATAACTTCTTTGCGTCAACATTGACCCTTGAAGAATTATTTGGTCAAAAGTAATGCGAGTTACGACATTTTGCAAATCCGTTAGGTGAAGAGGCACCTGGCACCCTCACTTATCTTCGAACAGTTTTCCCCGGAAAAAAGTATTATGTCAAAATCAATACTTTTAATTTTATTTTGAATTGAAGGATTTTTCAAGTTAGTTGCGAACGAAAAAATGATAAAAAAGGACAATAATAACACGATGAATATTATGATTTGCGATTGACTAAAATTATAAAAAATTTGGACCCTAAAAAAACTTTTATAAGGAGAAAAAAAATTACACGTTGAAAAACATCCTAGAAAATTCAATCAAATGATCCAAGTAATTTGGTTTCATGATACTAACAATTAGTCACTGATAATTATTAATTTCCTTTTTGAACCTCAGGTGTTGTCCAGGTATCAATAAAATTTACCTTGCTGTGCGACCCAAAAAAGGCAAAAGCATTTCCGAGCGTATGGCAAATATGTTTTCCAATCCGGTAAGCAATAAAATACATTCTCGTTTTCTTTTTCCGGAGATTGATAGCTTCATGATGAAGAGATTTAAGTCGTCGATCGGTGAAAATTCTAAAAAGCAAATCTTTTAAATACTATTGGTGCATCAAGATTACGGAGGCAACCATTTTGTTTTACAAATCTCGAGCAAAATGAGGGACGTTGAAGAAGGTTTGTATAAAACTAGAGCCATTATCAAAAAATGGAAGAAGAATAAAAATCATTACCAACCATCAGCAAAATTAATTTGTAAAAAATTATTTTCATTTCGATGACTTGTTTCAAAGAGAATGAAAAATTTAAAACTTAGCTTTTCTTCACAGAAAAAAATAGATGGCGCTGATGAAAGAACCTTCTGTTCACAGGGCTCCTGCAGTTTCTTTGTTACACTTACAGAATTTTCCTGTTGTGAGAACAGAACTTCGGTCGTGGGAACAGAGTACTCTGACCTCATAACGGAAGCTTCTGTGACTGTTAAAAAAGAAGTGAATACACAGAAACCCTGAGAACAGAAGGTTCTGTCGTCAGCACCATCTATTTTTTTCTGTGTTTAAGAATGTGAGAAGAGTTTCCATCACCTTGTATGAACGTTGGTATGCTATGAGATTGCTTCAGTTCTGGTACTCCCAGTGTGCTTCATGGGAAAAAGTATGGTTAACAGAAACAGATAAACTTTTAAACGAGGAAAATGAAAGCATTGGCAGCATCATTTACCAAATGTTTGTATCTTGCTCACCTTGGTATGGAAAACACTACCCAGATTTTGATTAACATCTCACAAAATTAGCTTAGCAGATTATGAAATCGAATAAAAGTGAATAGTTCCTTTGGTTAGAATGCGTCTCTTAAAATCTGAAGTTATCAATGTGCATTTTGCTGCAGCTATTTGCCGTATTGCATGCAGAAATGCCGGACGTTCTGAAAAAAGTGGAGCCTATCCACGCAGATTTAGAGCGCGCTGACTGTGGAATGACTGAGGCAGATCGGACGCTTTTGGAGACAGAAATCAGCGTTGTGTTCTACACAGCCGCTACGGTGAAATTTGATGCGCCCCTGAAGACGGCCTTGAACATTAACACAAGGGCCACCAGAGATCTTATTAAACTGGCCCAGCGAATGAGAAATTTAAAGGTACGACATTTAGCTTCAATTATAATATTATTTAGCTTAAGATCTTAGTGTACGAGGGAGGGGAAAAAATTCAAAGATTCGGTGGTTCCCGAAATCGATTCCAATTTCCAAACAACCTCCAAGAAAAATCCAAATGCTCCGAGAAAATATTTCGAAATTCGTCCGGACTTCGTTCCGAATATCGTCAAATTTGACCAAAAAATCATCAAGTTTGATAAAAAAAATTCGTCCAACTGGAGAAAAACCCCAAAATCCGGGAAGATTCCGAAAGTAACTGGAAATTCCGGTAATTCTGAAGATTCCGAGAAATTTCAAAAGTCCCAAAAGTCGGAATTAAGTCTGGGAAATGACAACACTGTTGAAAAGGATCGGGGGTTAATGTAGAGTCCCTAGACCCCATTTTTAATCGGAGAAAAAATATGAAGACAATACAAGGGAGCAAAAGCTTAAAAAACTTACGTAGCACAGTCATGGAATAAATGAATAAAAGTAACTTGAAGAAAATTGGACGTATTTCTGCCAAACGGAACTATAGGCATTTTGACTTGAACCCTGTCATGCATGTATTCTTATGGGTCTCAGGGCTCATGTCTGAATGCACATAGTTCCGTTTGGTAGAAATACGTCCAATTAAAGCACAGAGTGCTAACGAAGTGGTCCAACCACAGCCTCCGGTTGTGGAACTCAGATACGGCCAAGTGACATTGAACTCCGGAGAGGTAAGAGCTCCTTAAGAACGAGTGGTAGGCCACACTTTAACCATCTATGTCCGATTCATAACAGGTGCCAGGCAGGCGCAACGTCCTTGCTTTTTAAACTATTTGTATCGCAGTATAATATGGATTGCTTATTTTTCCTGTATTTTTATCTCTCTTTTCCACATTTGAAAAATCACTAAGCACTCAGAAAAAATCTTCAATTTTATTTTTAAAAAAAATGTTCTTGGTGTATATTATGGCTTTATTGCAAGCGGAATATTAATATTAAGAAAGATAAACATCGATATTTTCTAATTTATGAATTAAATTTGGAATTGTTCGCATTGTGTTTCACATGAAATTTTAACTAGGTAGCATCATGCTGCGTATTTTCTTACTCTGTCTTCAAGTCTAAGTGGGCACTCAATCCTTTTATTTTGCTTAATTATCAGCAGGGTATAGTGTAGAGCATAGTATCTGCAGACGATTCTGTTACTAACACATCTTTGTAAACAAATGTGAAAAAGTACACTTAAGTTTAATCAGTCCTGCCCTTATCACGGGAAAATGCTCCATCCTGGATTCGGTGGAAAAAAAAAAAGAAAAAAAAAAAATACATTATGTGCTGTCGGACGATAGTCCACTGTAAATATTAAGGCATTCAATCCTGCGTTGTCTTACACACTGAACAGGAATAATTTATTATTAACCTACTCGATAAAACGGTGTTTCCCTCTGGTCCTAGGCTTTCGTACATGTATCTACAGCATTTTCAAACTGCATACGGGATACGATTATGGAGAAATTTTACGCCCCTAGACTGACAGGAAACGCAGCGATTTGTCTCACAGAAGGCGTCGATGAAGATTTGATGGCTGAACTAGCTCCAGTGTAAGATAAATTCAGGTACAAGTGCCCTTAATGCCCCTTTACTAACATCGGGTATGCAATTGCGAGAACAAAGCAACTTGGGAGAAAAGCATCATGTTGCATATCCTGACTGAAATTTGAGGGCTTACAAAAACAGTACTGTAAGATCTCAAATAATATGTTTTAAAATATCGACGGTGTAAGTCGGCAATCACATAACTCGTTTGCAGTGTCTGAAAATCTCCGCCGCAATGTTATTTTTTTAAAGGAGAACAAATTGACATCATCCCTTGAAGTTTTTAAAGAATTTTCTTCGCAGAGAGCAGGAAAATCAAGGCAGTTTTGAAGAATTGCCGTTGAGTAGTTTTCCGTGTAAAAAATGAAGTATGGCAGGAAGTCTGCGACGTCGCAAACCGAGTTATGTGATCGCCAACCTACACCGTCGATATGTCTTACATACGAAACAAATATTATTTCACTCCATCGAAAAATACTCTAATTCATGAATTCTTAAAAGTATTACAGCGATCGTGTGGTGACATGTGAGTTTGAATGAATAATTTCAGAGTTAGGATAAAGGCGGATTTGAAAAATTTCAATGTACTTAAATTGAATGTTTAGATTTGAAAGAATAAAAGGCCTCTAATTTTATCATGCTATTTCCAATTGAATTTCATTTTTCGGGAATGATTTACAAAATTTAACATGAAACGCACATGTAAAACGTATCATATCATACAATTACCAAGGTGTTATAAGACCGTGGCAATATTTTATTTTGCGATTATTTTCATTCTAGCTTGATGAAGCAGTGGCCAAATTCGTACGTTTTCACAAAAAATCTTGCTGAGGATGTGATCAGAGAAATGGGAGAAAATATGCCCCTGGCCATTTTGAGACCTGGCATCGGTATGCTTCCATACTATATCTTTTGCATGCTGAAATTCCCGTCCCCTATTTCAGCACTTCTTTTTAGCGCTTCGCTGATAGGGAGCGCTTTTTTATTTAAACCTGCCTCTGGAATTCTATAGTATACTAGAGGCAATGCGTTCAAATGACTCCACAGCTCAACAACAAAATTGTGGAGAGTGGCCTAAAAAATTTAAAATAGATTAATCTGTGATACCTATGCTTAATGTTTCTGATGTCTTAACTTATAGGATTCGAGTATACTAGTCAGGATTGCAAAATCTTTACAATTCTGAGATCCTAGGATTGAAAACTCGCGGTATGCGCTGTCCTGAAATGTGCTCATCGGGGTGGGTTCGACACCAAAAATTTCGACTTTTCAGCGACTTGAGCGCGCACCGTGGTATACGTGCAATGCATGAAGTATCATTTAGGCTTGTAAGGCGCTACTATGCCTTCCACGCAATCTGTGCTGTACGCGCAATGTATGAAGTATCTCGCGGTCTTGTAAGGCGCTACTATGCGTATCGGCGTTCAAATTTCATTATATTGCGTTCAAATGGTGCACCGGCTCAACAACAAGATGGCGGGTAAGGGTCTTGCATATTTAGAATAGATTTATCTGTTATACTTTCACTTAATGCTTCTAACATCAAAGAGTAGAGGATGATACTCGTCTTTCTATGATTTATTTTTTTAACAGTGGTGTAGTTTCCTCAAAATTGATAGTTGTGTTTTGGTAAGCGCGTTCTTTCATTCAACGCGGTGCTCATCTTCTTCAAGAAACTTAAAAACGCGCCTATAAAGAAAAGAGCGGGGTGATTCTCAAATGCAAACAAGTCAGAGCTTTCCCGCAAGGTTTTTTTTTTTTAATGCTGGTAAATATTCAAAACACAATACAATCCTGAAACAAATTTTACTAGCGTTACTATCCCAATTTTTAACGAGGCTGCATGAGAAGTACTCAACCCTCTATGATGTCTCTAAGTATGTATTTCTACGTGATTCTTGCCAGTATTTCGAGTTGCAATAATAACTTCTCAATAAAGGTCTGGATACACACGGCGATTGATCGCCGCGAGTGAAAGACACTATATATATCGACGATGTATATAGACGGGATATATCGACGTCAATGGATCGATTTCAAGGCTCTCCATTGGCTTTCGTCTTTCACTCGCTTCGATTAATCGCCGTGTATATCTTAGGCCTTAACGTGGCGTGCTTTGCAACCTGCCGATTGAACTGCCATTTAAACCGATGGAAGATCGATAAACAGGGTGTTCGCAACGAACACCTTCATTATCGATCTTTTACCATGACTTCAAATGGGAGATATCGCTAATCGATGTGATTTCTGATTTCTCTCCTCTTCAATTGTTTACATGTTATCAGTTATATCGACAGCCAGGAGCCCTATCCGGGGGTGGATCAACAACCACTACGGACCCACCGGAGCGGTGGCTGGAGCAGTTTGCGGGGTACTCAGAGTTTTTCAAGCGAACGGAGACTGCGATGCTGAGATAGTTCCTGTTGACTACGTTGTCAACGCTATCATTACATGTGCCTGGAATGTTGGAACCGAGTGGTAAGTTTTTACATTTGACGCGTGCAAGATCCTGCGGGTCGAATATTGAAATGTATAGACAAAGCTATACACTAAGAAGACAAAAGGTATATGGAGGGATCCTATTGTTGGGAGTGGGTGTTTGCAATTGACAAAGGAGGTAGGTAATAGACTAGTGGCCTGGTTACACGCTCAAATATCCGTCAAATTCCGATCAAAATGATGACCAAGATGGCGGTCGAGAGTTATCTAGATTGATGAGTAAAATTAATTAAAACAGCGTGTTGATTGAAATAAGCATGAAATAAGCACGGTTGTGTGGAAATCAGATGAAGGATGAGCCCCACAGCTCCATCATCTACCATCAAATGTTTGCAGGCCGCAGAAATTTGATGGTAGACGGTGCGCACCAGTCACCATTTGATCGGAAATTGATGGAAATTTGAGCGTGTAACCAGCACATAGCTAACGGCAACCCAAGAGATCCCATAATGAGTCCATCATTTACCCCCTTTGTCGATAAGAACCACCCATTCCAACCAGAAATGATTGCTTTACACTCCCTATGCCTTTTTTGTCTATCGCTTTATCTATCTATTTCAACAATCAGCCCACTGTAGGCCGATTTTGGCGAAAAATGCAAGTTTTACGGGTTTGCGGTCGAATGCCGATAAATCCGAGGTTTCCACAAAAATCAGCCCTCAGACCCATATTTAGGTCAGTGATAAACCTGAAAAGAGACCAGAAATTAGCAAAACATCGTAGTGTTGAAGGTTATCAGTTCGGGTGGGCCCAAAATATGTCCTTAACGATACCTCTCCTGTAATCAATTGTAACTGACTCGGAGGTACTCGAAGTTAACACCCCCGAGATTTGTAGGATTCCGTATTATGACCGATTTAGCCCAAAGAGGGGTAAGCCTATTTACTTTATTTACGCATTTATATCTCACTGTGCATACTGCAAGCTTGCTAACAATCTTCTCTGTTCCAGCATTTTACATAAGAGAATCGAGACCAGCAGAAGGACACAAGAAAGCAACCAGTGCAGTTTTCTCGAAGATGTTGGAGGGATCCAACAAATGAAAGACGATCAATCGGAGAACTCTGAGGAGCGCAAAGAGGAGACATCTCCTATTCCGATCTTCAATTACATCTCATCGAATAAAAACAGAATAAAGTGGGGAAAGTTTTCGCGCGAACTCATCGAAAATGGATCGAAATACCCTCCAAAATCAGCGGTGCGTACTAAGAACCTTTTGGGGTGCATATTCATAGTAATATCTACAACTATTTAGAAACGAGCATGTGGACGATGAAACTTCCAAACCCCGTATTTCGGTTTGACATGTTGCAGGATTTCTGTCAAAATGTAATTTTGAAATGGATTTCTGCTGAATGTCAATTCTTAAAAACTTCCGAGATTTTGTTTTTCAACTTCAGAGAATTATGTTGATTTGCTCTCTTTAACAAAATAAAACGGAAGCGGAGATTTTGTGAAACCGCAAACGAGATACGTGGTCTAGTAGTTTCACCGTCGATGTGTTTTTAATATATTTAAATGCTAATATTAATAGTAGGTGGGACAATTGACTGGATTCTGGATTCACTTCAACTGGATTTTGAAATAATCGTTGAAAAACAAGATAGAGGATTGATTGTAGTGTTTTGTGCTGCTTGACGTTATTCTTTTGCTTCGTGAGATAGTAAAATACTCAAACAACGACTTTGTGACATACGTCTTAAGAATATATTTCAAAAATGCTGATACATCCAAGACAGTTTATTGAATTTTGTAATTACAATCAGATAATTTTGTCCATCATGAGATATTTATTTTATATACAGAAAAGTTATTTTTCATTCATTGCAGTTCAATGAATTAATTTTTTTTAATTATTCTATAAAATACTGAAGGGTCTTTGCTTCTCATTATTTCATTTCAGATTTTTTCAGAAGTTCGTCGAAATTCTCATCAAAATTGTTGAGCAAGATCCGTTTTTTTATAGCTTCACTATCTATATGTGCCTTTGCTGAGAACCTTTCGAGAGTGAAAAGTTATAATGTAAATATTTTGTATTCACAGGTCTGGTGTCTCTCATTCAGAATTATACCAAACACGTTTCTATGCCTACTTTATGCCATAATGCTCCATTTTATCCCAGCTTTTATAATCGATAGCTACCTTACTCTCATAGGTGAAAAAGCAAGGTAAGAATTTAACTTTCTTTTCAAAATGTGTAAAACACACGTCACTGTCTTATAATTTGACTACATTTTGCAATTAGGAACTACAATTTCTGATATCGCCAAATTTTACACTTTTGAACCGTCTGAATTGAAGCGAGCAACTATTCAAACTCCGGAGTAGGTATGTTGTATCACGCGTGATTGAAGGAGAATAATACCTCTTCTGCTTTCTGGATTCATGAACCTCATAAAAATTGAGCTCGCATCGATATAAAATTCGCGTATCTTCCGCGATTGAGCTGAAAATTGTGGAATTTTTAATGTTCAATCACTGTAAAATTTGCGCACTTAAATTGATACTCAGGTGAACATCTTGTAATTTTTAATCGTTTTATAAAATCGCATATTTGCCTCGATACAGTGGTGATTCTCGCGTGATCTTTCATTTTTTCTCGCAAAATAAGAAGAATTGAATTAATTTCTTGAGAAGAAAAACGCATTTCGCGTGATACCGAGATGAGAAGCATGTAATTTCTCTCGTTTTAGAAGTCGGAATTGAAGTGAGCAACTAATCGAACTCCGGGGTAAGTATATGGTATCGAGCCAAATTGAAGGAGACTCATAAGTTTTCTCTTATCTGAATTTATTACGCTCATAAAAATTATGCTCGCATTAATATTAAATTGGCGCATCTTCCGCGATTGAGGTGAAAATATCGGGATTTTCTCTGCTCTTCATCAACCGCTGTAAAATTGCGTTGATATTAAGTTGAATATTTTGAAATTCTAATAATGTTATAAAGCCGCTGAAAAAATTGCGTATTTGCAACGATATTATGACAATTTTGGCGTGATTTCTCATTTTTTCTTGCAAAATTGCGAGCAGAATTATAGTCAGAGATGGAAAATGAAATCTCACGTTCTGAAATTTCATGGTAATTCCCGTGACCAAATTTCCCGTGATTTCAATTGAAATCGTTCAAAAAATTCTTGAAAATTTTTCAGCAAATCTGCGCGTATCTTTTAAAAAATATTGATTGAAATTGAAGCATTAACTGTGGTTTGCAACGTTGCAATCAAGGTAAATAAGCTTCTTTTCGCATGGAAGCATCGATATTTGAGTTCGTTTACGGCAGGCGTGACAAACAACTATTTGACCACGGGTGTAAGCATGTTGCAGCTCCGCCGGATTGAAGGCGCGTCAAACTGCGAAGATCTCTTTACCGCCCTGCCGAGTGCCGACCCTCGCTGGCGGGACGAACGCTAAAGTTGCTGCGACACTTAGACGACGCGTTTAATAAGTACGCGTAAGGACGCGTAAAGTTTAGAATAAATTTTTCTAAATTCGAAATTTTGTTACATATCATCGGAATTATTAATTAAACCATCGGAAGTCCGTTAAAAGTTTCAGATCGTGTTCCTGTTGATGTGGTAGTATTATGCTGGCCTACTGAGATGCTGTAACGAAGGGGGTACAACTTATATGTAACTTATTTCTTTTTTGCAGGAATTCCAACAAATATTTTCTACGTTTTGCGCATCTTTTTAATGAGAAGGAAGGATGACCTACTTCGTCTAACCATAAGCGTGCCACTTACGCCATTAAGTGACATTTGTAAAGAAGACTTTTTAAAATATCTTGAGTCCAAAATATCGATTAGGGGTTAAGCAATTTGTCAAACCAAATTTGAAAAAAGTCAAGAGGTTCGCATGACCCCATATATCTAAATGATTCTATGTATGAAAGCTTTTTAAATTTGAAGTGTTTTGATTTGCGTTTCAGATTCTTCGATTTATACCGAAAACTCCATAAATTTTCCACACTCCTTTCATTCTTCAGCTTAAAGCAGTGGGAGTACCAAGACGAAAATGTGAAAAAGTTATGGTCAAAATTAAGCGCCACTGATAAAAATATATTTTATTTCGACTTAAAAGACCTTGTTTGGGAGGAATATTTTCGTGACTACATGCTTGGTCTTCGAAAGCACTTGCTGCACGAACCATCAGAAACTGTCCAACAGGGCCGTAAAAAGAGAAATTGGTGAGTTTTTAATTTAAGTTGAATAGCTTAAAAGGAAAAGTTATCTGAAACGGGCTCTCTACTAACTACTCTCTTTACTTCTTCAGGAAGAACGCACCATTTCCCAATCGTTTTGTATCCAATTTGTCGATTGCAAGCAAGAGATGCAGCCAACTGAATACACAGTCAAGGGTCAATTCACTCTAAAATCACTTTGGGCATATAAAAAACAGTCTGAAATGTACTCTTCAGTAAGCGATAGGTGTAGTTCGTAACACATTTTTTCAAATTTACCGCGTGTGCGGGCAGTTTTTCTTGGTGGCTGACTGTCAGGTTTGCTCGAAGAGAGACCTAACCCAAATAAACGAACAATCTCGTGAAGTGCTACAAACTCTCTTTGCACAAGATTTCAATTCATTCAAAGCTTTTGTTTTTGCAAAATAAAGAAAGAAAAAGGAATGGAACGCTGAAAAAAGATTAAAATCATACAATAGAAAAAGTTAGGTAATCGTTCAGAGAAATTGCTAGACGCGGTAATTTTGAAAGAAAAGTGTCACAAAATACGCAGATTGCGCGCTGAGGAGGGAATTTCAGACTTTTTTACGTGCCCAAGTGTTTTGAGAAAATTTACCCTTAACAAGGTATACAGTTGGCTGTACCTCAACAGACCCATTCCAACAAAATGTACAAAAACTTTAAAATCTTAAGTTGAAAATCGCTGACGCCGCAAGTTTAAATAATCGCGTCAAACACATTCGGAGATGGCGCGCTGAACCGCACAGTAGCGAAAAGCATAGTAGCGCCTTACAAGACCGCAGGATACTTCATGCATTGCGCGTACAGCACGCGCTGCGGGTAACGTATTAGCGCCTTACAAATCTGCAGGATATCATGCATTGCTCTTACTCCTCTGCCTGTCCAAACCTGCCTGTGTGGGCGGTGACTGAAAAATACCGCCCTTAGACGCGGGAAATTTGAAAAAGCGTGTTACAAACGACACAGGTCGTGCGTTGAGGAGCGGATTTCAGACTTCTTTAATGATGTGCCCACGAAATTGCCCTTTAGAGTGTATTCCGTTGAATTTATCACTTGCGTGCTCAGATTTATTGCAATTTAATATCAAATATCTCGTTTAATTATCAAATGTCGCCGACTAAAAAACACACCAGCGTCCTGTTTATGAATTTCGCGTCGTGACTCATCCATGGCGGTTATTTGTGCCAGGTTATGCTGAAAAAAATCAGTTTTTTCCCGCATGTATACACGTGTAAACTATCCATAATTAATACCTCAAGCAGAAAAACTTGCCGGTGTTTTTGCGTAATACCCTCCTACACATCAACAACTGCGTAATAGTAACGTTTTTGCTTCGATACCTCACAAAAGAAAAACGATCAATGTATTTTTCAAACGGTTTGCGTGATTAAAAAATTCATTTTTCCAGGTTTTTGGTGGCTCACTACACGTTGGTGCTGTTCGGCTGCTTCATCTTCGCTTGTCCTCTATGGTACCTCTACAACAATCTGAAATGATGATATTGGAAAGCCGTGCATGCGTACGCTCATGCAGACAGATCACAAACGCGGGATTTGAAATGGATTTTATGGGTTCTCTAGGAATAACCGTTAGATTTTTTTTACAAATATTTCATGAACAGCATTGTTCACTAAAAAGAAGATTAGTCCCGCATAAAGTTGGCACATACCTCGATTTGGTGAATTTAAAATCCTACTTTTCCAATTCCTCAAAATGAATCATTAAATTGTTTCTTATCCAACTCACCACAAGCACACCTCATCTTCGCCACCCGCAAAAATTTCTGTTTGGTAGAAATACGTCCAATTGAGAATGTACCGGTACAATGATGGAAAATATTGGCAGACTTCACCATTTCTACACGCTGTATTTCACACAGCGTGAATTCAAAGTCGATTCTGCCAGAGAAATGGTTACCTGTACCAGGATATTGTAACGTTTACCTGTCTTCGGGCAGAATTCACTCTGAGTTGACGCTGTGTGAAATACAAAGTGAGGGAATGGTAAATTCTACCAATCTTTTTTTTTCAGTGTGCATTCTCAATCGGACGTATTTTTACCAAACAGAAATTTGTGCGGGTGGTAACGATGAGGTGTGCTCGCGGTGAGCTGGATAAGAAACAATGTAATGATTCCTTTTGAGAAATGGAAAAGTAAGATTTTAAATTCACCAAACGGAATGTATGTGCCAACTCTGCCGTGATAGCGAAGAGAGCCGTAAGTGCAAAAATGAAGTTTTGAGAAAACGGGCTCAGAAGCTTCAGACAAGATCATTTTATTGAAAGAAGCCTCCGTTCTTTGTCAAATTGCCACTAATCGTCCAGAAGACTCCTAAAAATCGTATGGATGATTCAAAATCGACTGATTTTATTTCCATGACATAAAAAGGGTATTTTTCATTTTCATGCTAGGTTATTGTTAGGCAAGACAGCCGTAAGTGCTATCTTCTGCATGCTTTCGTGGTTGCGTTTTGGACGCACAACAAACACATTTGCAGGTTAGAAATTGGCAGAAGAGGGCGGCACTTTACTGGAAAGCACTGTTTTCATTGGCTCTCATGCATCTACGGCTGTCTTGAAGAAAAAAAACTGTGTCATTTTTTGTACACTTACGGCTTTTACATACGTCTCGTTTTCATTAAATTAGGATGAATTTTGCTGTTTTAGCTGTGTCAGTAATTTCATCTAAAAGAGTTTAAAACTCGATTTCGAAAATTTTGCACTTACGGCTCTCTTCGCTATCACGGCAGAACTGTATGCGGAACTCGTGAGCCGCGGGCATGTGACAAGACCGTTGTGGACAAGGCTCTAATGGTCCAGTTACACGATCAAATTGAGTCATCAAATTGAAGCTCTGATTGGTGGAAAAAGACCTGAGGTGAGGATGCGACCAATGAGAGGCCCAATTTGATGGCTCAATTTGATCGTGTAACTGGACCTAAAGACCGCGCAACTCCTCGAATCGCTCCCGTGGTCACCGCTGACGTCACTGGCGCTTTATAAATCCCATTCACACTTACTGCCCGAGAACTAACGGGCACACGTCATATTTCCCACCCGCACATAGTTCTGTGCGGTAGAAATACGCCCAATTTTTGATTCACCGGATCAAAGTTTTGGTTCCATGCAATTATATCCACCTGAATGATTTCCTCAAAATTTATTTCGTACTTTTTAATCAATCAAGACGATTTGTAAAGGTTTGCGCTGTTCTTTACGAACTCATCAAACGACTTACTACTCACTAACAGTGTTATATGAAATATTTTTGAAACTAATTCTTATAGTATTTGTTTTATCATCACTGTATATTTCCCTCACCATAAGTGCGAAGTGTTTCAGCTTTTAGACGAACAAGATACTCTACATTAAACATATTGTTGAACAAAGTCCACAAAGCAATATTTTAATCCATAAAAATATAATACGTTTTATCGCTCAGCACGAGATTATGAATCTTTACTGTGTAGGCAAATAATCAGACTTAATTTGCTTCTTTTGCCCGTGCTCTTTAGTAGGTATTATCTCGACGGAAATACACGAACTTTTTGGAATAATATTCAATGTTTGGTCGATTTAAAAATAAATTTCATGAGATTCTGGTACGAAAATTTTCTTTTGAATTATTTTGACCGTTGCCTATCTATAGTAATGTTACGGTAGCGACCGAGGATTGTTCTCCGTATGAAAATTTTAGATTTTCCTATTAGGAGATACTTAAATTGAAAATCTTAAAATTCAATCTCTAATTGAAATCAATCCGCATAAAAATTTGACGTATTTGTTTCACACTTAGATTCCATTTTATCGCTAAATTTGTAGTATCATGGCGTCGCAGCAGTCGTTCTTCATCAAATCATATTATGTACAGATTAAACCAATTCCAGCGATTTCAACTTAAGGAATAAAAAAGGCAAAATTTGTTTCTTATAGTTTAGGAACTAATGGTCTCTACTCATGACAAGAATTATTAAGTACTCTATATATATTGGTCAATAATTTTTCTCGATAACCGTTGATTCTACAACTATTTCCTCCCTCCCCTACCTCTGGGTGACCCTATTTCACTAGTCGTAGACAGATATTGTTAGACGAATGTCTGAGGCATGCCAACACGAGAGTCCATGTTTTCAAAGCCCGATTGATTGTTCAACTCATCAGTTAGATTCAGCCAAAGCAAAAAAACATAGGGAAAAAGATCCATCTAATGGCACATTTTTACTTTTTTTCTCTTTCCCATTTGACTCTCCTCACTTTGAGGATGATGAGAATATATGACCTTGTACAAAATTACATCGGCTAAAAAGCGAACACAAAAAAAAATAGTATCTGCCAGAACCGTCTCTCGTTCACAAGGCCTTTTGAAATCCATGCTATGAATTCGTCGCGACTTCTAATAAACCGAGAGCAGGGACATTAGTGAGCCAAAATTGTGGCAGATAATGATTTGTTCCGTCCAGTTTTTCGTTTTTTTGGTGATTTTTAGTCGTGTCACTTTCGCAAATCAAGTTTCTCCACAATTGGTAAGTGCATTCACGTTACTTTAACACTAATAGGATGAGAGCAAAATCACTCGCTCGCAAAAAAAAAAAAAAAAAAAAAAAAAAAAAAAATCATATTGATGATATATACAAAATTAAATTCCTTGCGTGATTCTACATTAACCAAACAATAAAATGTTATAATAAACCATCGAAGACAAAATAACGCCTAAACATGAATCTGTATGTCGACGATGAAACTAGCCTGCCGTGCTAAGGAAGAACGCCGTATGAACATTCGAGAGTTGCCAAATCTTATTCGATAAAATGTTTACTTTTGAGGAAAATTATTAATATTTTTCCTTGAAATTTTCGGACGTTTTAGATCAAATTACGAGCAAAATTATCTGAGAAATCGGTAGACACACATTCAAAAATTTTCCAGAGAATGAGAGATTGTTGAGTTGACGGGGGAAATTTGGCAACGCCTGATGGCTCATACGGCGTTTTTCCTTAGCACGGCAGTACCAGCCCACGTATCTCGTTCGCGGTGTTTAAAAAACGCCACTCTCATTTTATTTTTTTTTAAGGGAAAACAAATCAGTATAACTTCCTGAAATTTTCACGGAGTTTTTTTCGCATAGAGAAGAAAGTACGCGAACATTTTCATTAATTTAAATTAAGATGTTATTGTCTATTTAACAAATAATGTATGACGAGAAGTCTACAACGTCGCAATCCGAGATACGTGGTCTGGTAGTTTCACTGTCAATATGCTACATGAAAAACGGTATTTTAGCTGAAAAATGGTGGCTAAAGGGGCGAAAGGGGAGAGAGCTTAAAACTTGAGGATATAGGTTCCAAGAAAAATCAACAATTTATAGTTGGGCAATATTTTATGACTCTAGCTCAGTTTGAAAGTTGAATCTCTTAAAAAATAGTAGAGCTTGGTGTCTAACATCTTGATTTGTCCCCAAGAATGTCCGTTTTTAGCTTTTTTTGATAAATACAGGAAAACGCTAAACAGTCAATACTCCCTTTATCACGTGGTGAGACTGCAAAACTGAACCAAAACAAATGGAAATAAAAAATAAAATTTACCATACTGTATATAACTTTTTTCAGCACTCTAAATGTTAAGTGCCGAAAAAATATTCTTACGGGGATGTGCCTTATCCATGAAGGTCTGAAGGGACCCGATATCATACCCTCATTTCACGAGATCACCTTAAAATTGAGATAGAGTCTTAAATTGATGGAATTAAAAATTAAAATTTTCCACGTTGTAACTTGTTGAGGCACTTTCATTTTAGTCCCTTCCATCTTGCATTTTTGTGCCTGCACGTTTGTATTGTTGTTAGTTCGAGGTGACAAAGGAGATCGCTTTAAAATCACATATTGACGATGAAACTACCAAACAGCGTATCTCGGTTTGCGACGTTGCAGGCTTACTGTTTTACCTTATTTTTTTAATGAAAAGCTGCCAGACTATTATATTCCGGTAGGTTCGTAATTTATATAATATATTTCCAAAGGTAAGTAAAGTAAGTAAGTAAGGCCGAGCTGACAAAAGTAAGTAAGTAAGGCCGAGCTGACCGGCGAGGCGCCCTCAAGGGACCAAGGCAACTGGCAGGAACCTTGCTGTCGTGCAGCCCCCCGAAGTTGGACCGTGCTCCTTAACCTCAAATCATTGACACATTGTGTATCCGCAATATTCCAGCGAGGCTCAGCGGCCGTCTGACACCGCAATCACACGCTGAATGTGGGGGCTGAATGTGGGAGCTGAATGTGGCTTGAATGTGGAAGTCATCGGCCCGATGCCTGAATTTTGCGCGTGACGCGCAAAATTCGCGCACACTACCAGTGATCGCCGATTTTTTCACAATCCAGTCGAACAGTGCAGACGGATTACTTACTGGGTGACTATGTCCCTCCCGCACCCTGTTACCTCGAAGGGTCAGGGTATTGGAGTGGCATAGTCATCCACGGTCACGATGACTGACATTTGAGTGTCCTCAAATATCAGTCACCTCCGGGGATTGAGCCCGGGACCTCAGTGTTGGCAGCGAACTGCCTTGACCACTACACCAGTTGAGGCTGACTCTCTTTCTTTAAAGTAAAAGAAGACAATTTTGGCAATCCCCTTTACACTTTGCATGTTTGTTTTTTTATTAGTCGATTAAAAACAAGCGGAGCATTTTGCATGTGTACTCAATGCGTTTGGACGGTTGTTCGAACCTCAGGGCGGATTCGTCTAGTGACGAAGTAAAAGCGAGCAACGAAGAGTGCGCCATTGCGGTGAAGACGTTCCAAGATCTGCCGGTCGAGGATCGGAGCCGTTGTCCAATCGTCGATAAACCCAAGTGCCGCTTCACCTCTTTCTTCCGCAAGAACCCAAGATGCACCGTCATGGTTTTCTCCAACGACCAATGCTTGTCCAGGTTCGCTCAGTTTCATAATGGACCAGTAGACAAGGCACGAATTTTAGCATTCTGATACAGTTGCTCAACTAACTAAGTTTTCATCGGATGAGGGTGAATGTAGAGTCCCTATATACTGAGAGTCAAGACAACACCCCTCATGGAGTCACAAACAGGAATAAAGATTACAGAAATTGAACGTTTTTCGTAATCTTTGATCGGCCCATTCTCGAATTCCTTTCTTCGTTCCTTCCTTCATTCCGTTTGTTCCTTGCCGAACCCGTAATTCCCCGGTCCATTCCAGATTATGATCATTTGCAATCGGTGAAACTGTAATCTGTATTCCCGTTTGTGACACTATGAAGGCCTAAAATACGGGAACCAATCAGAAATGGATTCACAT